GAATAGCCAAACTCATGCCAAAGGTTCTTGTAGCTTTTTTATACTCCTCAAGTTGTGAACTAATGAGATCTTGCTTCTCCTCATTCGGTATCAATGTTGTTAAGGTATTAAGCAAACCTCTCATAACAGCAGTTTGTTTGTTAAAACCAGGCCTAAAGTAGATACTTGGATTAAGAAAGCATCCAGCTGAATGTAATGGGCTATAAAGTTGCTTATCCCATCTAGCATCAATCACCTTAATGTAAGGCATGTATTGAGACAACCTATTATTAAAATTCCTTTTTATTGTCTCCTTTGCCTTATCTATTGCCTCATACAAGTAGCCCATACTCAGCTTTTCTTCATTGTCCACAAGTCGAAGCACTCTCACCAAAGGCTCACTAATGAGTTTAATTTTTATATACATTTATCTACCCTTTTTGAGCCTAGAATTTAATATTATGGGTCCTTTGTAACTTAGTTTCACCTTTGTTTATATTAATTTCATTATGTGTAGGTGAAAATTAAGATATGAATTAATTTTGTAATAAGTGACAATTTGCACATGTTATAGTAATTTAACCATATCTTTTTCTCTAGGTATCGGATTGAGATGATTCTTTAGGCGTTGGAAAGCTAAGAGGCAGAGCTACAATTGATGTTTTATGAGCTTAATCCAGTTCTAGCTGTATCAATACAGATTTTTTGTTGAAAGTGACGGTTTTGACAATGGACAGAGTGCAGAAATAAAGAGAATTGAGCTGTGTTTTCTAGGTGTGGGCCAACTACAGTCCAGGCCCAAACCAAAGCCCAATTCCCATGTCTGCTAGGGTTAAGGGGTTTCTAAATTCTGGAGATATATATATAGATGCTACTCGGCAGAAACAGGGGAGCCACACAGACGCGAGAGGAGTTGTTCTGCACATTGGAGGAGAAGCCGCCCAGCCGCCCAGCCTTCTTTCTTGCCATCCGCATCTGTTGTTCACCAGCAGCAGAAGAAGACACAGAACCGCACAAATCTGCTCTGTGAATTGAGAACGCAAGACCCAAATCCGTTTGCAGAAGAGCCACGCTGCCACCCAGCCTTCTTGGGAGATCCCGACCACAGCTCACCATTCGGCAAATTGCAATTCTTCATAGTTTGGGTTTTGTTGTTTCTGAATTTTTTATTATGATTTTTTGCTAGGATTTATTCTTCATGGCAGTTGAAAACATATACATGTGTGGCTAGAATTCTTTGAACTAGGGATGGATAGATTTTAATTTTTGGAATATGTGACTGTTTTTGTTAGTTTAATTCAAGATTTATTGGTTATTTGCATGATAAGTTTATATTATTGAGTTTAATGCATTCAGAATCTGATCACATTTCAATTGATTTAGTGATTTATGCATGAACTTGAGAAAGAATTGCGTAGATTAGACCAATAATAATATAAACCGTGTGCTAGAGTATGAGACCGAGAGGTAATTAGCTCACATGTGGTAGTGGAGGAGGAGAAGAGAGTTAGTAGCTCCCCCTTCTTAAGCTAGAGGTTTCCATAGAATTTAATGCTCATTAGTTTGTTTAAAATTACATAGAGATATGATTAATTTAGCAAACAAATGAAGGATTACCTTGACTTGAGAAAGCTGGTTAATTAATTTAGGGAAATCCGCCATCTCATGCGATAACACTATTATTTGAACTTGAATTAAATTAATGAAACAGTTGCATAATTTAGAATTAAATGAAATCCAAACCCTAGTTCTTTCTCATTCATAGTTTCTTTAACTTAGAAAATTCTTTAGTTTATTTTTCTTTAGTCGACTTAGTTTTCTTTTAAATAGTTTAGTTTTTCCCCATTAATTGGTTAATTCAACTTAGGTTAGATTAATAGGGTCTTGGTAGTGTAGTATAGTCTTTGAGGGAACGATATCTTACTCATCTTATACTGCATAATCGATTAGGTTCACTTGCCTAAAATTAGTGCGTATTTGGTGCATCAAGTTTTTGGCGCCGTTGCCGGGGACTAGTCATCTACATATTAAGATTAATAATTTGGCCTTAGATTGAATTTTTTTTTCTTTTTCTTTCTTGATTAGTTGTTTTTTTTCTGTTTTTATTCTTTATTTATCTTAGTTTTATTTTTTTTAGTTTTTGATTTTTTTAGGATATTAGTGCATGACCCGTAGTAGTGGTGGTGATCTTGTTTCATTTGATCCAGAAATTAAGAGAACTTTTAGAGAGTTCTTAAGAGAGCAAAAGCATAACATCATGGCAGAAGAAGGTGAAGGACAAAATAATGCACCCACTCTTGGTTCATATGCTACCCCATCCCTTGAAGGAATAGCATCCAGTATTAGGAGGCCAGTAATTCAAGCCAACAACTTTGAAATCAAACCAGCTATCATTCAAATGATCCAACAAACTGTCCAATTCAGTGGTTTGCCTAATGAAAATCCTTATTTGCATATTGCTAGTTTTCTTGAAATTTGTGATACTTTTAAGGCTAATGGTGTTAGTAATGAGTCTGTTAGGCTTACATTATTTCCATTTTCTTTGTGTGATAAAGCCAAGAGTTGGCTTCAATCTTTTCCTGCAGGCCATTTTACCATATGGAATGTTTTGGTAGATAAATTTATAGCTAAATTTTTTCCTCCTTCGAAAACAGCTAAGTTGAGAAATGACATTACTACTTTTGTTCAATTTGATAATGAGTCATTATATGAGGCATGGGAAAGATGTAAGGAATTGCTTAGGCAATGTCCAAATCATGGTTTACCTATTTGGCTCCAAGTGCAGACTTTTTATAATGGTATGACTACTCCTAATCGATCTATAATTGATGCAGTTGCAGGGGGTAATCTTATGAATAAGACAGAGGAGAATGGTTATAAGCTGTTAGATGAAATGGCCTCTAATAGCTATCAATGGACTAATGATAGAGCTACCAAAAAGGGAGTTGGTTTACATAATGTTGATGCTTTTACTTCTTTATCTGCTCAAATTTCTACTTTGAATAAAAAGTTAGATAATTTAGGAGCGTCAGCAATGAGTATTTCATCTAATAGTTGTTGTGAATTGTGTGGGCAATTTGGTCATGCTAGTGTTGAATGTCAAGTAGGCAATTCAGTTCAATCTTCTAATGAGCAAGCTAATTTTGTTTCTTCTGGTGGTAGGTCTAATTTTAATCCATACTCCAATACCTACAATCCAGGATGGAGGAGCCATCCTAATTTTTCATGGAGTAATAATCAAGTGAGAGTACCACCCGGTTTTCAGCAACAAAATCAGCAAGAAAAGAAGCCGAATTTGGAGGAGTTGGTGCACAAATTTGTTAGTAGTACGGAAGCACAGTTTCAAAATCAAGAAATAAGGTTTCAAAATCAAGAAATAAGGTTTCAAAATCAAGATGCTGCTATTCGGAACATAGAAACGCAACTTGGACAGATTGTTGATATGGTTTCTGGAAGAGTTCAAGGGGGTTTGCCAAGCAATAGTGAAAAGAATCCAAGGGAGCAATTGAAGGCTATCACTTTGAGGAGTGGGAAAGAACTTAAAGAGGTAGGACAATCTGATGGGAAAGAAGAAGGTGTGGAAGCTGGTGAATCAAAGCAAGAGGAGGAGCCTACAAGACTTTTTCATGATCCGAATGTCAAGCCTTATAAGCAGAAAATCCCTTTTCCCCAAAGATTTTTGCAAGCTAATTTAGACAAGCAGTTTTCTAAATTTTTAGAGGTGTTTAAAAAGTTACGTATTAATATTCCTCTTATTGATACTATTTCGTAGATGCCAAGCTATGCAAAATTTTTGAAGGAGATCCTTGCCAATAAAAGGAAGTTAGAGGAGTTCGAGATGGTGAAGTTAAATGAAGAGTGCTCTGCTATTCTTCAGAATAAGTTACCTCCTAAGTTGAAGGATCCAGGGAGTTTTTCTATTCCTTGTATTATTGGCAATGTTAATTTTG